ACTCCTGGTTTCTCTTGGGTCAAATTAAAATTTTAGTCTTAAGAGTTAAGACCAACTTTCATTTAACACTATTTTGGAAAACAAGCAACCATGATCCAGAAAAAAAAAACTCCAGAAATAATAGATCCTGTACTACGTAAGTTTTAAAATCTTTTCCATTCATTAGACATTCAAAGTTTCTTCTACTATTTATCCATTAAAATAAAAACTAAATCTTACCTAAAGATGTGCTCTCTTGGCCATAGTTTGATGTTCTTTTCTGGGAAGCTATGAGGTCTCCATCATCCAAGATATCTGGAAATATATATAAATTATATATTTATATATAATTATATATAATTATATTTAAAAAAAATTAAAATATATATATATCTCGATAATTTGTCCAATTTACCTGTTGTTTCCGTACTTTCAGAATAAGAGGTGGCAGCAGCTGTGCCTGATCTTGCCCTGGACCTCTTGGCTTTTGTATGAGCTAAAATAATGGAGTAGAAATTAAGCCATATTTATGTTGTATCACATTATTAATTACTTAAAATGGTTTTAAGAATAATGTGGAATGATAGCCTTCCATACAGACACAAAACTTACAAATAAAAGGGCTCTGTAATGGTTCACAGAAGAAAAATCAACAAGTAAGGCAGAAAAAGTAATGTAGCAACTGTTTTCATATGCATAAATTAATTGCAAATTAAACTTTGTTTTTAAGATGAATTACATTTAAAACGTCTTTGATTATGTTTTCTGTGCTGAGTCTTCTGTTTAGTTGAGAATCAAAATTAAATAAATAAAGTAATCAATTAGGAATAACAAATAAATTAATTCATTAAAAATGCATAAATAAATAACTCCGTCAAGCCATACATTCATCAAAATTACAGCTCTGGCTTATCTTCCAAATTATTCACTTACTGTCCATAAGTCTCCAGTTCAGTAAGGGGTCATAAACAAAAGCCTCCAGTACAGCCATTAAACTATCTTTATTCTCCCTGAGGACATCCATCACCCTCTCACAAGTCATCTTGTAGTTGCCATCAATACCAGTCACCTAGAATAGATGGCTGTTTGAGAAACCCACGTGTACATACAAACTCTTTCACACACACACACACAGTTGCCACAGATAACAGTGACTTAGAAAAAAGTCTGTGAAAATAGCACTCATGAACCAATTCATGCATGCACACACATGCAAGTACAAACTCTCTCTCTCTCTCTCTCTGTCTCTCTCTCAAACACACACACAAACACACACACACACAGTTGCCATCGATAACAGTGACCCAGCAGAGACAGGCTGTCACAGCAGCACATAAACTTACTGTCATTTAATATCTATCATATCATTATTATATATCATATATTTTAAAGAAGAACCATATAGTGTTCTTCACCAATTTTGAAATAAAAATTTCAATAAACAATGGCCCTGCAAACACACCTCCATAGCATTAATGAGCATTCTCGTCAGGCGGAATGGGATCTTCTCTGGAAACTTTTCTCTGGTCATGGCCACTTCAAAACAGTCGCCAAAGTCAATATGGATGATTTTCCCACTCATTCTGTCTAACATCAAGTTTGAAGGGTGTCTGAAATAAAAAAGGATTTCAAAGGATAACTTTCTTATTCTATGTCTAATTTGTAAAATGCTGCTTTTGGGCTGAAAAAAAAAGGTGGATCATATATGTTGGATGTAATCTCAAAATCAAATTTATTGTAATAAAGAGTAATGAATGTTATGTTTGCAGGCAACAACTCACTTAGTTTATTTTTTAAATGTACTAAGTTAAGAGGTCAAAACTTGAGTGGAAACACGCCCTGGATTTCTCATCATGATGACAAGCCATTTTTACAGTCTGCTGTGATGGTATATACATAGTACTCAATTAAAACACCATAACTTGAGTTGTTAACACACTGTAGAATTCTCAACATGACTAGAAGTCATTATGATACTTAGTTAAGACATTTTAACTCAAGTGTGACAACGCCTAGGACTGACCTGTCTCCTAGTCCCAGCACATAGCCCACCATGGACATGACAGCCAGGGAGCGGGTGTAGTTGGTTCTTCTGTCAAACCACACCTGAAGTATACAGGAAGACATACCGTTGTGACCATTTAGTATCCAGTAATTTAGTATACCTAGTAATTTATTATCAAGTAATTTAGTATACCTAGTAATTTATTATCAAGTAATTGAGTATACCTAGTAATGTAGTATCTAGTAACTTGGTACCTAGTAATTAAGTATCTACTCACTTTTTATTTAGTAAAAGTTATTATTCATTAATTTAAAATACACTGTTGGGGGCATCTATCAAATTGTTTTTGTGACTAAAATGCATTGTCTGTGTGCAGTGCAATTCTGCTCCTCTACTAAGAGAGTTTTGAGGCTGAAAGACCAACATCAGATTCCAATCTGAATAGTAAAAACCATGGACAAGATGCTTACAATTGTGAGAAGTTTTGATTCAAAATTTAGCAATTGTTTGAGACAAAGATATACAGAAATACTGAGATTAACATACCTCAGAGCTGGGGCTCTTAAACCAAAGTATTTTTGCCAGGTCGTCTCCTTGGGTATGCTCCAGAGCATGCTCAAACACTTCCACTTTCTGCATCAGGGTCAGGTGGTCATAGTCTGGCGCCATCTATCAATGGGAACAAGAGTTAAAACAGTCACTAAAGTCTAGATGTGAGGGCATTTCACTGGTCTGTGTTTATCAAAAATATTTTTTCGTGTAGAAAGATAGCACTACTTACATTAAAAGCTGTAGCACCCAATACTTTTGTTGCAAATGAAAATCATTTATTTATAAAAAAATAACAAGACTAAGTATATTTTTATGGTCAAAATACACAAAATGTAATTTAACTTTTTATTGCTTTTTCAGTTACTGTAATCAAAATACAAATTAAAATGTTTGACACAACTTCAAAAAGATTTAAAATCTCAAACCCCTTTACCCTCAACATTATCCTGTGCTCTATGTTCAGCAAGATCTTCTTCTTCTCCCTGTAGTCTCTGATCAGAGAGTGGAGGGTGTCACAGTGGGGGACCCAGCCTATCAGGCCAGAGTTGGTGGACAGCGGAATGATGGAATATCTCTGGATGCTGAAATCATGGAAAATTTGCTATCAAAATACTCATAATTCGAGAAAGTGTAAAGCTTCATTGTGGAGTATCTCTGGATCCTAAAGCTATGAATAAAAACTGGCATTGTGATAATTATTAATGAATTGAGCTACTGGACATAATATCAATATGGAATATCTTTGGATGCTGAAACCAATAATCAAAATCATAACTAAATTAAGAACCTAGTGAAAACAAATGCTTACGACTGATATGCGAAAAAAAAAAAAAAATTGAAAAACAACAGATTTACGAAGTCAAATGTATGCCTTAATATATTAAGTAAAATGTGACAAGGACTGAATGTCCTTACGTGAGGTTCCTCCTGAATGTCTCAGGGTTATTCATGAGCAGAGAATTGACCAATCCAAACAGCTGCATCACCCTCTCATCCTGCCTCAAGTCTTCATGCCCCTTCAGTAGGAACACATATTCCCGCCCATTGCTTCCTGAAGTGACAAAATGATTTCAAAGCTTCATATATCATGTGACAAAATGATTTTAAAACACCCAGTTTACAACCTCACAAGCAGGGGTTCAACCATTATTGTAAATAGGGCTTCCAAAATGACCAAATATGACCCGATCAAATATGGTAGCCGTCCAGCCATATAAATAGGCTGTCCTCTATTCACACAATATACCTTCTATGCAAGAAGAATTGAATAATTATATAATAATAGAGCTATGACCATATACTTTTTCAAAATATCCTAACAAATCTGTAAGTCCCGCTCACCAAATATTGACAACTTCCTTGGCCGCTGCTTGGAAGTGATCACTTGTAAAGAACTTTGCACGTAAGAAATCCCGACCACTGGCTGGTTCACATCGTAGGTTCCAGGTACAGCCAGTTCCAGATCGCGACAACTCAGAAGATTGGGGCTCACATAATGCAGTTCCAGGGAGGTCAGCTGGGGAAGTTGTTTGGATATCCGTCTGAAGACGTGATAGTAAAGGTCCCAGGCTTGGGTCAGGTCCTTGACGTTGTTAGAACGTTGGTACTTTCGGCACCATTCTTGAGCCTCCAGTAGATCACGCCCATAGGCCTGCAGGAGAAATATATTAGACTTTCAAATTAAAGCTGGATTTTGTATTGACATTTTATTTTCATCACCATTTAATCTATCCTACTTTAAAACAAAACGAGGAAAAAAACTCATTAACAAAGAAAACTTTAATATTGGATAAATTTTCCATGTCAGTACCGTTACCATAGTTACCATATCTCCAAATTATTTTCCATGTCAGTACCATTACCATAGTTACCATATCTCCAAATTATTTTCCATGTCAGTACCGTTACCATAGTTACCATATCTCCAAATTATGGTAATTACTTGATCTTTTCAGAGGGAAAAATATACTTCTGAATGATTCCAAAATTATGATTCAAAAAGAAAATAGATAATTTTCCCCATTGAAAAGATCTGAGTCATAACCGTTACCATAGTTACATCACCTGGTTAAAGGATGTTTCTTTCAATGTCTGCGGCCCTCTCTCCATCATACAGTGGAGGGGTTCCAAGGTGGCAAACATCCCCTTGACGTTCCTCTCCCCAAAATAGAGGCGAGATGCCTCCTCAAGTCCTTCATGCCACAGTTCATGCCACAAAATGGCGACACGGATCAACTCTTCACTCACCTGGAGTATTCAATGTGGAATAGACTTGTCTGGTGAAAATTTAATTTAATATGATGCTCTTTATGTTTCTTCTGCCTTAGAAACAAGGATATTTGCCACAACAATTTAACACGGGACAAATTTGATAAGTTGGTTAGCAAGTGTAACCTATCCTACTTTTGAGAGAATCAGATAATTTTCTCACCCTTTTTTTAATCAAAATGGAAAAAATCACATTGGTTATTGGTTTGGTAAGCAAATGAAATTAACAACTGAGCCCAGGAAAAACATCAAGCTATTGTCATTATGCTCTAATATTGCTCACACTGTTGGTTTTATATTTCCTCCCTAACATATTGTTTAATACACTGTACAGTATGCTCACCAGCAAAGCCTGTTGGACCAGGGTGTTGCTGTGTTCTCTCATGTTCTTTAACACTTTGTTGGCAGCGGCCTGGCGTGCTGGGACGTTCGACTTGCAAGCCACCGTCAGAGGGTAGATAAGTGCCTAGAAGTATTAAATATGATCACAGTGAAGTACAAAAACATTCCACTGAAGACAATATGTGATAAATGGTTAATGTTAAACTAAAAGAAATAAATGACAAGAGGTTAGACCAGTGCATTAAAATAATACAATATCATTGAAATGGAAATTATACACTGCTAATGAAAATGACAATGTTAGGGTTAACACTTCCAACAATTTCTATGAACAGGATTAGGTGTAGATGGCAGTCATATCAAGATGGTCCCAATTCCTCACCTGTGGGTGGTGCTTTCCAATGTCCATGAGGAGCTGGTGTATGAGTTTTCCTACCAATTGTCTGGGAGTGTCTATTCTGGCAATCAGCTGGGGAATGACCTGGTTTTAAAAATAAATATATTACCTGTATGTGGGGAAAAACACAAATAACATTTCCTAGGTCATTTGCTTTGATAGCACATTTATTACAGCAGCCCCAGAAGTACATTTGGCTACATTAAAGTTCTTATACAGTTATGAAATAGAAATAAGTTAGGAAATAAATAAATCAATCATTTAAATCACATAAATATTTTGTTCACAGTTTCACTTTTCACCACATCAACATTATAATTATGCTAAAGTCAACTGTGCAAACATCTGAGTTTAGTGGGAAAACTTTCCTCTTTTTGCACGAATCAGGCCTCTGGTTTACAAATCATCAACAAGAACTAAATCAAATGCTTTTTCTAAATCCCAGTGTTGCTTACTCCTACCTGTAACCAGTTGTCAATTTGGATTGTCTTGATACTCTCAGTCAGGGCCTCATACACTTCTGACCACTGGCCATAGTCAAACCACAGGGTCAGCAACCTGAAAATGACCAACAGTCAAAGGAAATACCAGTTCAAAGTGACCAAGGCTGCTAACCCCACCACAGGGTCACCAACCTGAAAATGACCATCAGTCAAAGGTGGACCTTCTGTATGATGGGGCTGATATAAATTTCCCAAGAACAAAAAAACGGAATTGGACCGGTCTCCAAATTTTTTTATGCTTGCTAACACCCTTACTACACAAATGTTAGGAGGTTTCAAAGAGGGTATATGCGGCACCAAATCACCATGTAGGTCATGTGACGTGAGTAAAAAAATTATGAGTCAAGTCAGATTGGCCAAAGAAATGTGCAAATCTAGAAGAAGTGAGTGCTCATATAAAAGTCCCAGGAACAAGAAAACGAAAGTGGCATGGTCTTCTAATTTTTGGTGCTTGCTGACACCCTTGCTGCACAGATGTTAGGAGGATCTGAAGGTATAGGTGGCGCCAAATCACCATGTAGGACATGTGATGTGAGTAAAGAAAATATGAGTCAAGTCAGATTTGCCAAGGAATGCCCTGTGAGAGATGAGCAGGAGCACAGCGATTGCGTAGTAAACTGGAAGAGGTGAGAAAGAAGATGTAAAGGCATCATTCAAAAGAAAGGGGGCTCAATGGTAGAAGCATTCTACATGATGTTCCAGGATTTTCTTTGACCAAGTGTCTACCACATGACCCAATGCATGTGATACTTGAGGGTGTTCTTCAAGTACAGCTTCGTTGTTTGCTGCGAGCAACCACCATGCAGAAAAAGTACATTTCTTTGGATGAACTCAGTACCAAAATCCTCAATTTTTCCTATTCAAAATATGAAATGAAAGATAAACCACAGATCATTAACAGAAAATGGCTTGATGAAGGCCAAACATTTGCCCAGTCAGCTGCTTTAATGAAAAACTTGATCACAACATTACCCTTCATTTTAGCAGACTACATCCCAGAACATGATGAATACTGGAGGAATTTCTTGCTCTGCCTGCAAATTACCCTCACTGCATTATCACCAGTGGGATCTAAACAAACATTGGAATAGCTGTGTACTCTAACAAATTCAAGAAGCTTTATCCAGATAAATCATTCACACCAAAGATGCATTATCTAGTTCACTTTCCAACCCAGCTTCTCTGTTTTGGTTTGGACCACTTAAGAACCAGTGGTGCATGAGGTTTGAAACAAAGAACGGGTTTCTTCAAACTACAGAGATAGTTCCAATATCCCTCGCAGCACATCATCAGATGTGAATGTGCATGCAGATGTTAAGATCAAATGGTACGAGGTCAGAAATGTACCTTTACCGGGGCGATAAAGTTGAAGAAGAGGAGACCATCCCCATTTCCTTACTGAATCACAAAGAAGAAATCATTCAATGATTGAATAATAACCCACAAGAAAATCTGTGTGGAGACACAAAGGCATTGAAAACATCATAACATACCAAGTGGGAACTGTTTTAGTCAGTGAATATGAACTTAAGCCTGAGCACAGTTGTTTTTGGAGATAAATAGTATTAAATAATTAAATAATTGACTTCTGCCCACTGAGTTAGCTTTTGAGGTGCAAAACTCTAGTAATATCAAAGAATATCTCTACCACAGATTAATATTTCACCTCAGTGTGTCCTGCAGCGAGTTCCCACTGGATAAAGCTATGGAACGGAAGAAGTAATATCAAAGAATATCTCTACCACAGATTAATATTTCACCTCAGTGTGTCCTGCAGCGAGTTCCCACTGGATAACGCTATGGAACGGAAGAAGCCCTGGACTGCTGGGATGCAGTACTTGAACATCTTGGCCGTGTTCTGAAAAAAAAAAAGCAGATTAGGTAAATGGATTTTTTTTCATATAAGAGTTCTTTAAAATCTTTTATTCTTTCTTTTGTGTGTGTGTGTGTGTGTGTGTGTGTGTGTGTGTGTGTGTGTGTGGGTGGGTGTGTGTGTGTGGGGGTGTGTGGGTGTGTGGGTGGGGGTGGGTGGGTGGGTGTGGGTGTGTGGGTGGGTGGGTGGGTGTATCATTTCTTCTCTAAAATTCCTACCTTTGATTAATCTTTTTCAATCCTTTCCAGTTATCAGGCAGAAGGCATGCTAAATAATCACAAGCAAACTTAAGACAGTGTACATGGATGTATAGCTCCACCAAGCAGTGAAAGCTATTCTCCCATGCTGCTAGGTACTCACACTCTCTCCTCCTTTGACTGCTTCTCCAGACTCTTTCTTCCCCACAGCTGCCCCTGTGCCATTCTGGGTGGTGCTCTGTCCCTGCTGCTTGAAGAACAGCACTGCTTCGTAGTTCATGTAGGCCCAAGCATGCCATGCCTGAAATCCAATTAATACATGAGAGAGAGAGAGAGAGAGAGAGAGAGAGAGAGAGTGAGTGTGAGTTTGCATGTCTATTCATGACTGGATGAGTTCAGGCAAGAAAAAATGCTTCAAATGGTGTCCCTCGACCACCACAGTCCTTTTATTATAGGGGAAAAATGAGACAAACATATATATAATTGGGAGAGAAGAAGAGGTCATGAAGGTTTAAGGTCAGAGGAAAGGTGAAAGGTCACTGACCTTGTACCAGTTCCTGTCATGCTCAGTGGCAGCGCTGAAGTACTGCAGCACCCTGGGTATAGAATCCTCTGTTATTCCCTGGACATCTTCCAGCCAGTCGCCTAACTTCAGGTAGCATCTGAATTGATAAAATATAAGGGGGATTACTCATTAGGTAGGTGAAATAATAATGTTAATTAATGAAAACAAGTTTGTGCAGTTCCTGAGCTTCAGGAAGCATCTGGGAATAAGGAATTTAAAGGAAGTTTATACTGTAGCAGGCCTCCGTATATTAAGGATTAATGTAAGGATCTGGTTTATAATTTAAGGAGTAAATAAATAAATGAATTTAATGTTCTCTCGTGCTGTAGCATGGCTCTATGTACCTTAATCCACACGGTGGTAGTTCAAGAAATTACACAAGTTATTAGCACAAAGGGTCTAAGGCAACTGAAACCTCCATTTATTCATTTTTGACTAGTCTTGTTGTCTTGTGTTGCATACTAGACCTAAATTGGTTTAATAAAGCTTTGGGTGTAAACACACCTCATCCACAGCAGCACTTACTTAGCCAACAGTTTGTTATACTCCGCTTTCTGTGAGGATTCCTCTGGGGCATTGAGCTGGTTCACACGTGGCTGGAGAGAGTTCTTCACAAAACGATGCAGATTTTCAAATGCTTCGTTCTGAAAAATTAAAGCCAAAATGATCATAAAACCCAGTCCTTTGTTGACAGTCAACCAATCCATCTTTCTGTTATTAAAAAAAAATAAATAAATAAGTAAATAAATAAATAAATTTAATTAATTGATTAATAGATTAAAAAAATCCTCTCGTTTTGTCATTTTCCCATAATTTATCTTAAAGTTTAAAATTCACACATACTGAAAAGACATTATTGTCATTATAAAATACCTTCTTGTTGCTCTTCCACATGTGTTTCATATAGGCAAAGGTGACGGCAGGGTGGCTGGTGGGGATGGTCTGGTCAGGACTCTTAGCCGGGTCAACTCCCAGTAACATGACCAGGGTCCTGTGGGATAATGCCTGGAATAGGAGACCATGACTCACTGTTATATCATGTCATGTCATGTTTTGTCATGTCATTCATGTCATTCTGTGTCATGTTATATACTTAATGTCTTGTCATTTATGTTGTTATTTATGATGTCAAGTCACATCACATCAACTGTATATGCTGGGGTAAGTATTCCCAGCAGGTATATATTATGTTACCCAATTTCTCTTTATAACATCTAGAATATCATCAAAAAACTTTTTTATCATATTTAGATAAAAGATGATTTTAAGCAACACACTGTCTCAAATGCCCAGCACAGTGTACTTACCAGTCTCCCGCTCTTCCTGCAGAGACTGGCGTATTTCAGCCACGTCCTCATGTCTTCCTGGGGGGTCACCACCAGGGAGCGCACCTGGATGATCCTCTGCCAGTCCTCAACCACACGCTGACACCCCTAGGCAGAGGAGCACAGCAGAAAAAAAAATTACTTGTTTACTCTCTCTTCCCTCTCTCTTCATGCCTGTGTGTGTGTGTGTGTGTGTGTGTGTGTGTGTGTGTGTGTGTGTGTGTGTGTGTGTGTGTGTGTGTGTGTGTGTGTGTGTGTGTGTGTGTGTGTGTGTGTGTGTGTGTGTGTGTGTGTGTGTGTGTGTGTGTGTGTGTGTGTGTGTGTGTGTGTGTGTGTGTTTATTTGTTGGGGAAAGTCTTAAAGACAACCATAATAATTTTATTATTCTCAATTCTGACTACAGCTGTCAGCACTTAGTCAGTGCATGAGTACTACCACCATGTCCTGACTATACATGGCAGCACCTTACCTGCAGCCTGTTCCACCAGGTTTCCTTGATGGAGTTTCTCCTCTCTGGCACCAGTTTATACTGCATCACCTCCTCTAGTTCTGACAACATCTGAACATTCACCATAGCCTAGAAAACAATGTCAACTTAATAAAAAAAATTATGTCTGTTTTCTGAAACTTTGATGAATGTTGTACTGATCAAGTAGAAGAATTCCCGTTCAAACATTAAGTAAATTTAAATCTGATACTCCAGATAACATCATATTATTTCAACCAAGTTATAACTTCACTGTAGTCCCCATACTTACACCATAGGCTCTGTTATAGCTCTCCCCAGCCATAGCTGTCAACTCTGTGTCCAATATATCACGGGCTTTGTCTATACACTGAATTATAAAGAGGAGCAAACTTATTTCAATTGAATGAGTATAGGCATGCAAAGTAATGTTTTATTTCTATCAAATTTGTGGATTGAAGGCTTTAAAATTTTTATCTTTAAAAAATATTATGCAGTTTCTGCAATAACAATTTGAGTACCAGTAACTTGGAATAATATAGTAACCTGTTTCAATCCCATGTGTCAAACATTCATATACTTACCTGTAGTCCGAAAACAGACAAAGTAAAATAAATGCATGAACACATAAACACACATGCTCACTGCACACATGTACACACACGTACACACACACACACACACACACCTGTTGAGCCACAGTATACTGGTCCACGTGGAGGGCCTGCACAGCCCTGTAAAAGGCCCCCTCCATGCTGTCTCGTGGTATCATACAGCTGTACTCCTCCATGCTGTCCCACTGTCCCAGACCCCAGGATGCCACAGCAGCCAGCCGTGCCATCTGCTGGCGAGTTTCATCACTAGCCAGTGGCCATTTTTCACAGGAAAGCTGGTACAGCTGGCCCCTGGGAGAGAAAAATGAAAAATCTGCATAAAATTGAGGGGGGGACATCTGGGAGTCATAATAAACAACAGTCACTCACATATCCAGTTTTCCAGATAAATCCAGCTGACCTTATCTCTATATTATATTATATTATATAATATACTAGGAAGCATATAACCCACCACTCTCCCAGTGCCTCCAGACATCTCATTCTCCCCAGCGTGAGTTGAACGTTATCTGGCTCCTTCTCTTGTTTGGCCTCGTAGGCACTCAGTGCTTCAGTCCACTCATGAAGCTTCTCATACCATCTCTCCTGAACTTTCTGAAATGTAGAAATCAAGAAGGCACAATAATTATCAAATTTGCAAACTCTGTTTGAGGTATATATTCAATTTTTTGACAAACTGTATAAACTAGTGAGCCCTCCATGAGTGCAGATTTCAGTCATGGAAAATTCCATTAGTGAAAAAGATGACAAATCTTTTCAGGATAATAGAAGGCAAGAATTAAGTTGAAATTGTTATCACTTTTTCCTGTACTGTTTGACTATCTATCCTAAAAATTTCAACAATATTTGTGAAAAGTTTTGTCAGACATCTTCTTCATTAAAAACAATGCTGGTGAAAAGGTTATCTTCTTTGTTGGTGGAGATCATACCAATAATCTAAAACATTATTGCAAAGATGGATTATTTTCTTTACTAAAAGATTTTAATAATAACAATTTACCCTCTTTAATAAAGAAAAGAAGTTAAGTGCTTACAATATCAGACTTGTGGTGAGCCATGGCATATTCCAGAACACCTGCTGCTGCCTCTGGTTGCTGCAACTTATTGTTGATGCTGAAATACCAGATATCACAGACCTGTAAAAACCTTGTGACAGACCAATTGAATATGAAGCAAAGAGATTATTACAATTTTGTAAAAAAAAAAAAAAAAAAAAAAAAAAAAACAGATTTGTAAAAACTGTACAGATAATGCTCTACACTAAAACAAATGTAAATAACTTAAGAATCTGATTTTTTAGTAAATCAATTAAAATTGAAAATAAAATTCAAAAATTAAAATTGTGAACTTTTGTCCAAGATAATGCATAGCCTTCTGGAACCACATATATCATATCACAATATTCTATGTATTAAAATAAAAAAGGCCATTTAATATGGAAAGAATGAAATTATCACTCAAGAGTTCACCTTATCAGAGCCTCTAAGGTAGATGTGGAGGCAGTGCGATGGAATTCATCTTCCTTATAGTGCAGAGCCTTGGCAAAGGCACGACATCTCATCGCCCTCTCCCCGAGTAAACTAGTGTCCAAGGGTAAGGGGCCCTTCAGGGGAAAGAAATTGAAAATTGCTCATTTACTATGGTAACCATACATGTTTTCCATATGTAATTTTTTTAAGTGGAATATATGTTTTCCTTTATACTTGTATTAAGACACCTTTTATTTCTTTGAAATCTCACTCCAGATGACTATGGCTAATCGTCTGCTTATTTTTAAACACCTCACTTCCTCTACTATTTCATTTACAGACACTCACAAAAATGCACTGAAATATATGAACTCAACGAAATTTTTATATGTATTTATTTATTTATGTATTTATTTATTTATTTATATATTATTTTTATTCGTTTATGATTTTTGGGGAGGGGAGAAAGTTTAAGGGGGGGGGGGGCAGAAGAGTTAACTAATTCACGTGTTTTAAGTATATTAAGTCAGTACCCTAAACTCACCTTTTCACAATGCTCCATGAACTCGGCCAGGTTCAGCAGGGTCTGCGTGATCTCTGGCAGGTCCTGCGATGTCAGTGCCTGCTCCAGACTTTGGATCAACTCATCTTGCTGCGTCTCACTTAGCTCTGTCCAACATGACACAAAGGCGGCATTGAACAAGTCCCTGCAAGATCACAAATGGGTCTTCCATTTTCTTTCTTTTGTTTCATTTTAAACTATTTTTTATATAACTTTCTTCCATTTTCATTTATTTATTACTTTCTTTCTTTTTAATTTTTTTTTTGTTCCAGGCTTTGTTTAGCCTTCTACAGTCATGACAATAAAAAACTTTGGTTACTAAATTCTTTAAATCTGTGATATAACGCCTATAAATCCAGAAGCATTACACCCACCTTGCCAGTGGATTATATGTCTGTGCCAGAGCCCAGCAGGAACGCAGCGCTGGTGATGGTGACTCCTTCAGGAGCTCTATACTCAGCCTCCGCAGCCACTCCATCCAGTCATCTTTAGACACCCGCCTTGTAGCAAGCCAGGCCTGTGAATAAAGGATACATATACCACAACTGTTACACTGTGCTCTAATATTTTTTGTATTTGTGGATACCTTGTCAGTACTGAAGTTGTGAGTCTAAGAACTGCAGTCATTGCATAATTCTTTTCTTCGATTTTAATAAGTTTCACTATATATTAAACTTTCAGGTTGAAAGAAGCAGAGCTGAACAACAACAATATATCTATATATATCTATCTATATCTATATCTATCTATCTATCTATATATATATATATATATATATCTTTTTTATTTCCCATTTCATATTTTAAGACCATAAAACTAATCTGATTTGATTTCTTCATCAGATTTTACATATAACATAATTCTTTAAGCTAGAAAGAAGTTCCATTTACCCTCTGCAGGGTTGCTGAGCTAACATGGAGTTTCTTGATTGTCGCCGTTTCGGCACTCTGGTCTGGCGTCTGCTGACTGGGCCGATTACGATTCTGCTTGTGCTTGTACAACAGTGGGTCATCTTCCATTTCTGCATAGGTGGAACCCTGACAGGAATATTTCTTAGCTATACAATATTATCTGAAGACTCTGACTGAGCACATAGGTAGATTTAAAGATGAAGAAAATGGCACCTGTTGGAACTGGCATTGAGGGTGGCAAAGTATACTCATTAAGCTTATTGGCCATGGGGGGGGGGGGGGGAGTATTAAAAAGAACCACCTTTTTTGCCAGAAATGTTCTACTCTGAATCAAATTCTGATCTATTTTCTGGTTATTTTTTGAGTTGGGTCAACTGAGGGGGTAAAAAGGTGATGATTTTACAAAGCAGGAGTTCATACCCCACACTCCACCAACCTTGATGATCTTACACAGCAGAAGTTCATATCTCTGGTGAGCCACTTTATGTTTGGTCAGCACCTTGGCCACCATGGGGATGAAGATCTGGTACTTCTTCCCAAGCTGGACCACCAGGGCGGCCAGAGTGTCCATGGCCGTCCCCCTCAGCTCAGGCGTGGTGTCCAGGGTCCTCACCAGGGGGTGGATAATCCTGGACGCAAAGTCCGTCAGGTCCAGGGAGTCGGTCAGACGGTCGACAGTCTCCAGAGCTCCCCTTGAGAAATGAAGTTGAAATGAGTTTCCACAAGGTAAGGGAAGTTTTCAATAACAGATATGACATAAAGGCATGATGCCATGATATCTTTTCATGAACAGCTATGACACACATACACAGTACCATGACACACGCCCTTAATGCCATGACTCACACCCATTAAAAATCATGATGCACAACAATGAACAGCCATGAAATCCAACCACGAACAGCTGTGATGTCCCCTAGGGAAATGCCATGACACACACCCATTAAAAAACCTCGATATACACTCATGAGCAGCCATGACATCACACTTGTGAAAAGCCACGATATTCAACCATGAACAGCCACAATGTCCTCCAATGGATTACCATGAAAACCACACATGGACAGCTATGATATACACTAAGTCTTATGAATATTAAGACACACCTTCTAACAGGAATAGGCACATCTGCTGAGTCAAAGAGTCTGACAACTGGAGGCAGCAAAAGGTGAAGATAGTCATCTAAGTTTGGACCAAACATCTGCATGGCGTTCAGCAGCTGAGAATGAAACGAGATTAATGTTAAATACTGGTTTTGTATCATGTCTTACTCAAAATAGGGCTGCATGCACTTAATTACACATCCTATTTTTATCGCCTATAAAACATGTCCCCAATTACAGGAAAAATTCCTTTAAAAGGCATGAAAACAAAACTAAAATGTATATAGTATTACTGTAACATCAAAATTATGTACTTTAACTTCTACAGATATCAACAGATATAACTACTTGTCAGCATCAAAATTTTTGATCGTGTAACAAAATTATTATATTTTTAACCTTTCCAGTCACTTGTCTGCCTGGACTGCTGTCGTGCATGAAAACCTTAAGCATCTGGGGTACGATTTGTGGCAGGTAAATCTTGAATTCCGTCCCCAGCGCTATCACAATCTGCTCTATCAGGAGGATGATTGTGTTCTGCATTGGGCTGTTTGGAGTCCAGTAGTCCTAGAGGAAATAAAACAAGGCAGCAAAGTTGTCAATGTACAGATAAAAGCCAGAAAATTAAAAAATATTACTTAACAGGAGGTTCCCCAGAATTTGGGGTATGAGGAGTTCAAAATGTGAATCTGTAATTTCTTCACCAATTTACAGGGAGTCCAACACTTCATTTCCCGAAAATTTCGTCCATCAGCCTTTATTGGACGACTCCCTGGGCAAAGCCTTGTTACTTAATTTAAATAGTAAATGTATCTTTAACTCTGTCCTCAGTTCCATGAACTGTGAATCTAAAGATCAATTCTGATCATTTTCCACTTACGATTCAGATTTTTTCAATTACCATGAAATTCTGAACTTAAAACAATGTCACACTAGAATATATATAATTATATAATTTACCCTGATGAGAGAGAAGATATCATCCAAGTAATTCCTGATGTGCTGTTTCACTATGGCAATAATTACCCCCAGCTGTTGGAACAGAAACTGGAAAAAATAATGATCTTTTGTTATCACATACTATGTGTTTTTATAAACCAGTTAAGAGTGCTCGTTTGCAAAAAAGTTCAAAGAATTATACAGACCAATATTTTACCTTTTATCCCTTTAAAAAATATAAATCAATCTGTATGTATTTTATCAAATCCCAGTACTAAGCACACACTTATACATATCATTTTACAGTTTCAAACCTTCCAAAACCCAGGACTAGTATAAATCAGTCTTAATATTAATACATCTTTTTTCCAGTGGGTAGAGTGCTTTTAGAGTCCCAAGCATACAGCTTGAATTATACAAATCAGACAGTAATACCTTTCTCACTTTCATGTAAAGTTACATATACCAGTCTTAATATACATCTTTTTCCACTAGTTAGAGCATCATATAGGCACTATTTAGAGTTTCCATTCACACAGAACCCACAGTTACTGTAATACCTCTCTGAATGTGGCATCAGAAGTCCTGATAACATTCAAGTAAGCAGGCATAACTTGCTGTATATACGGCACACACTTAATCCCCAGACTCTTAAAGATGAACGTGATTGCCTGGACCACCATGGTGTGGTGCTGCGCCAGCGACGGGTCCTTGATGATCCTCATCAGAGTGGCGATCGCGGTGGCTGGGTAGAACTCCTCCAGAGTCGCCGTGGGCATGTTGACCAGCATTTCACTGGTGCTGTATTCTCCTGTAATGTAAAGATTGGATTAATTTGAATTCCCATTTAAATTCAACTGATTCCATTTCAATTAATGATAAACTTTGGTTATGGTTAAGTTATTGAAAATGAAAGAACCTTACAAAGCAACCTAACTGGAGGAGATTTCAACAAGCCTTTCTCAGCCTACATTTATCCTCAATATGTTGTTTATGTACATTAAATAAGCATGAGAAAAAGAGACTTATATATAGCAACAAAGAGCTAACAAAATTGATATTTCAAGCCAAGAAAAACTATATTACTCCATTGTTTTTTTTCCAAAGAACTGGAATACCACTTCACACTCTGATTCAATGCCATATTTTTTTCTTGAGTCCTCCTTGACATTTTGATAAGTTTACCACAAAACGAACAGTCAGCCAGCAATCAATTACCTGTCTGCTCCTCCCCCTTTGTATTGTCTGACATGCTAAGCACCGCCCCTGCATCACTAGACCTGTCAATCACTCCTAAGTTGACCTTGTGCTTATATGGGTCAAGGGCACCAAGAAGTCCAAGCACTCGTATTGCCTGAAATTGTTGTTTGTCATACTTACAAAAGTTTGCACTGTTTATTAAATCATATTGATAGTAAATGTGCCATTATGACCCCTGTTTAATTTTTCAGGCATACAGTCACCTGATGTGAACCAAACAGAGATGCATGTGGAGTGTTGTAAACAATAAACAAACTTTAATTTATTCTGATGGAAGTTGATCTGTGTAGAACTGCACCCCGTAATGCAAAGTTCCTAACTACTCTGAGTTTATGTCTCCTTGCTTCAGTTCGACTGATTAGGTACTAAGTGTTGGTACAAAAACTTTTACACGTATGCTTTCAGCTAGTTTTAGAAATTGAAAAAAAAAAAAAAAAATTCCTCAATTCAAACTTTTAATTTACTTAGTTTACTTTTTATAATCTATTATGTTAAATCCAGCTCTCACCTCTCTCCTAATGGCGTGGGACTGCTCAGTCTTCAGGAAGTTCAGCAGCACCTCCAGTAAGTGAGGGTACTTCTGATACGGTTCCACCACATAGCCTGTACTCTCTATCAGCTGACCTAGGGTCCATATGGATATCTGATGATGGAAAAAGATCAATGGTATTAATTACCAAGATGACCAATTAGATTAAGAAGAAATGTATTCAATAATGACCAATATATGTGAAGCACAAATTAATGAATATTAATTAATGCACTTTATTCATATCAGTTTCATGTGCTAACTAAATTCATGAAGTTTCTCTTTGCATTTTCTTTCTCCTTCCTCTCTCCCTCTCTAAAACACACAAACACACACACCCCAAAAAAAAACACACACACACATGTCCTCTATCTGCATTTCTCTCTCTCTCTCTCTCTCTCTCTCTCTCTCTCTCTCTCTCTCTCTCTCTCTCTGACACACCACAAAGACTGACCTCTCTCTTCTGCAGGGAGGACGAGTCCTGCATCATGTCCAGCACAATGGGCAGCAGCTGGTCCATCCACTTCCTCATCTCCATCCCACTGACCCTTGCCTGCTCCCCTATGGCTGAGAGCACGCTGTTCACTACCCCGGGATTGGGGTCCTGCTCTGTCAGCTTGGGGATCAGAACCTGCAAGGGAATTAGTGTCCAGAAATCAACATTAAAATAATTAATTTGTAATTCATCTAGTTAAAATGTGTATGTGTGTGTAAAAAAGAGAGAGAGAGAGAGAGAGAGAGAGAGAGAGAGAGAGAGAGAGAGAGAGAGAGAGAGAGAGAGAGAGAGTTCCATTCACCTTCTGGTGTTTAAAAAAGTGTGATAAGTTCATCAGATCTCTGTCCATTTCTCTCAACAGCACTTAAATAAATGGGATAATTTTTTTGTAAAGTTATTCTATCAAAAGACTTAAAAGCAAGCCCATGAGATAAATTGAAGCCATGATGAACACTCAGCCTGGTTTTATTACCTTCAGGATGGGTTCCATGTATGGTCTGATGAGTCTCGGGGCATTGGAGACCAGATGGCCCAGAAGTCTGGCTGCCTGCTCCTTGTTCCTGCCAACACCACTGTGTTCCAGCTCTGTTAAAATCTGTTGAATGAAAAGTACAGAAAAATTGATATAATGTTTTGAATGAAAAGAACAGAAAAACTGTAAAATCTTTAGAATGAAAAGATCAGAAAAATGGTTAAAACTTTTGAATGAAAAAAAGTGCAATTTCATCGAAATGAGCAAACCATGACATGAAAAAAAAAACAACCATGACACATTCATGACATTTTACACCTACTTGTATTAGAACTTTTCTCAAAGATGGCATGACATAGGCAGGGTTCATTGAACTTAGTCTGGCAATGGTACAAATAGCCAGCTCTCGGATATCAAACACCTCATCATTCAAGGCAACAAACAGTGCACTGAGGTTCTCCGCCTGCGCCAAGTGGGAGTCAAACTTTTCATCCAATGAGGCGAGCACACAGAATCGAATATCTGGATCTAGAAGAGCAATTACAAATTTTAATGAAAAGAGTACATGGTGGACATTGTGCCTATACTGAATCAGATCACCAAACTGTTTATGTGACTGACAGTTCAAAGATAAAAAGATTTCTATGGCTGACAGTTTTGAACATCTTTTAAATGAACCTCAACGGCAAAGTAGGTAAGGTAGTTAAATAATCAATTTAAATGACTAAACTATGTTTTGGTTGCTTTCTGTTTTTGAAATAGATATGTTTTATAATACTTTTTGGTAAGTTTTTGTTTTCAGGATAAAACCTTTTCTCATTACCATCAACATTCTGCTGTTTCACTTAAACCCACAAAAAAGACCATTTGAAAAGACACTAAAATTGAGACAAATGATATAAATTATGTAAGTATAACAAATACCCCACTGAAGTGGTGATTAAAAAAAAACTTATCAAAAATATAATTTCAAGATATCACGATTGAAAAAAAATTGTATAAAATACATAAAAAAACATACCAGAGTCTGTGATTCCAACCATGAGGAGTTTGTTGAGAACATCAGCCACCGTATTCATGGCAGAAGAACTCACGTGGCCCTGGTTCTGTGAGACAAGCTGGAAATGTAACACAATAGTGGTGATGACAATATCATTTTGTCCATAACCTTCTCTCTCTCTCTCTCTCTCTCTCTCTCTCTCTCTCTTACACACACACAGAGAGAGAGAGAGAGAGAGAGAGAGAGAGAGAGAGAGAGAGAGAGAGAGAGAGAGAGAGAGAGAGAGAGAGAGATTAACTTACATTTAGACATGGTGTCAGCAGACGTGAGCATGTGCTGACTGCCTCCATGCGGATCTCCTTGTGTTCACTGGACAGAAAGGTCTCGGCACAGTGCCGCACAAACTGAGTCAAATACTGACCTGAAAAAGGATGTAGTCATTTTGATATTGGAAATTTAACAAAAACATTTTTATCTTAAAACTAGTCATGGTTTCGACTGGAAAATGATAAGAAAATAATTGAAGATAAATTTATTCAGCCAAATTTGTCCTCAATAATTTTCGGTAACAATTTTGGTCAAGAGTGAAAATTTAGCTTCATGTTGGGCATATAACATTGTACACCCTAACTTTCAGAATAGGCACCTCAAATTAAAAATCAATAAGTATCAACAGAGTGCGAGGTACCATTTGAGTATCAATGTGTTGTCACTTTACGCTAAACACAATTCAGTCTCGTGTGTTTGTCAAGTTGATAATGAATATTATGATTCTACCCTAGTACTTTGATTTCTTACCTTCAAAGTCAAAACTGCCCAGTGTCCGCAGTGCCAAGGTTATACTGGTCACATCTTGGGCATCAGACACTCCTTGACCAACTGGAAAATAATCAGTTTAGTCAGGGAAAAAAATCTTTTTTCACATTACACTGACATAGTTCACAAAACTCACTGAGAATTCATAAATAAAAATATTTTATCCTACCTTATTTGCAACAAAAATTGAACGTAAGTGAATCAATTTTAAATTTACTCCACAAAATATACAGAATGTCCAGTCTCAAAAATACAAAATAAGAATTAACAATATAATGAAACTTGAGAGAGTCTAGATATGACATCACTTTTATAATTAGTTATTAATTATTTAACTTTATTTCTTGAGGGTAAAACATGGTAAATCTAAAATTAACTTCCCCATGGAATCACTATGCACTTCACTGTACATATGCTGTGCATATGCACTTTACATATTAAAAATGCTGCTAAACAAACCTAAGAATGGCACAGGCAAAGTGGAACTTTTGGGCGCCCCAGGGTGTCTGAGGGGCCTTCCCATGAGCACCAGGGACAGCATTTTGAGAAGGCCGTCCTGAATGTCCTTCTTCAGCTGAGGGATCTGGGTGGCGAGGTCCCTCAACGCTGCAGTCAGGGCAGGGCTGGAAATTAGAACACAGATTTTTATTGTCAAAAATACATAATTCTAGGAAGGCTCTATGGATAACAATTCTACATTAAATCTAGGAAAGCTTAATGGATGACAGTTCTATATTAAATCTAGGAAAACTTCATGAAAGCTCGGAGGGTAAATTATGAAATTTATTTGGGAGCTAAGTACCAATGCCAGTCTTGTTCATACTGACAACTTGCTTCCATCAGTTTTCACATCACCCAAGGGGCTTAATAGTGACCAAAGTCAATGAAGTTGCCCCCCCCCCCCAGCCCCCACACCCACACCCAGCCTCAACACTACTGGAAACACATGGGAGAATAAATACCATAATAAAAATGTATTCACTCATGACCTAATTACCTGAGTCCAACTGCCAACATGGGTTCCAGCAGTTCCTTGATGTCCTTGGCTAGAGCTGGTCCCACCGCCCTGGCCAGCATACTGACACAGGTGAACACGGCCGGGTCCACATTGTTCCTCTGCTTCCTGGAGAACATATAGAACACTAATTAAATAAAGAAACAAGAACTGATTTTGGGTCCACATTGTTCCTCTGCTTCCTGGAGAACATATAGAACACTAATTAAATAAAGAAACAAGAACTGATTTTGGGTCCACATTGTTCCTCTGCTTCCTTGAGAATAAGTAGAAGGCGGATTAATTATATAAAGAAACAAGAACTGATTTTGGGTCCATGTTGCACCTCTGCTAAATACACAACACAATTCCCCCTAGTTGTATTTATATGTTATATTTATTTTAATTATAACGGCAATAAATGTTAGTTGTTTCTGTTGTAGCCATTGTTGTCATTATCAAGATCATCAACATCATCATCATCATCATCATCATGGTTATAATTACTATTACTATTATTATCATCATCATTACTTTTGTGTTAAATCTTTGGCAGGCAGAGACTGTCTAATCACGTCCATCAGTTTGGGCAGGTGTCTTTTAATCTCTGACTTTACAGACACAGCGATGAGCCCGATGGCCTGGAAGGCTGCAGATCTCTCCCTCTGGTTCTTCAAACAGCCCAGAAGATAGCTCATGGTCTCTCCTAAATACCTGAAAACACAAAACAAAGAGAATAGCACAAAACTATGCTGATGATAAGATTTATTTCATAGTCTACCAATGTTTAAGTGGTGTGAAACTGACCTTTCAAAATCATTAAAATAATGAAAAAAAATCAAAACTTCATACATGTCATTACCCTCAATGAACATGATTTGTACATTTTTATAAAAACCCACTGGGCCATACCTATTTGAACCCAATAAAATTTAAAAAAAAACAAAAAAACTTTAATCTTATACCTTTACCAAAGAAGAAGGCCATGGACTCACCCCTTCACAAAGATATCAGGTTTGAATGCAGCCAGCCTGGCCAAGACTTTGAGGAGCACCTGCTGCACATACACACTTCTGCTGTTTTTGTGTCGCAGTACTGCCTTGCACACCTGGAAAATAACAATAACAAGGGTTTAAACCTTATGGGATTTAGACCCCCCCCCCCCCCCTATAATGAATTTTCCATGAGGAGGGGGCTAAGGAGGAGGAGAAGGAGGGGAAAATCAATTTTCTCCTACTCATAAATTATTTCTCAACCCATCTTTGCACTTTGACTCAATGTTTTATTTCATTTTTAATTGAACGATTTAGCTCTAAGTGCAGTGGCAATTGATGGGAAAGGAATCAAAGGTTATTTCCTTACTATGACTTTCTTATCCAAGGGCAAAAATAACAGCTATTGTTCCTAGTTATTTCATGTCATCTTTTTCAGATTTGACAAACACTGAGATACAATTAATATAATAATATATATTCTGATTACAGCAACAAAACAGCGAAGCAGTTAACAAAACGTTTCAAACTTCAAAAATCCAAGCAGAGAAAAAACAGACACCAGTAAACAGTGAATCATATAACATCCAATTAAAAAAAAAAAACAATCTTTGCTTCACACCTACCTTAGTAAAATGGTCCAGCATTAGCTCCTTACACGTCCTGCTCTCAAAGAAGAACTGTTTCTGAGGCTGGGCCATGCCAGGAAACACCACGCTGCTCAATAGGGGGCTCCTCTGATGCATCTGGAAGACGCTGGGGTTGTGGTGGTGGGGGTGAGAATGGGGGTGCTGGTGCTTGGACTTGCCGTGGGTGGTCTGATGGAAACAATATGATAACATCAGAGATGACATTAAATAATTATGAAGATTTTTTTTTACTACTTTTTGCTTGTGGCTAACATGGTTGGAGGTCTTCTTCAGACTGACTTGAGTAGATGTTGTTGGTCACTGACTGCTAGGACCCTATGTTAATGTCTGGTAGATCGACTCCCCCCCCACCCCCCCCCCACCCCCCCCCCCACCCACACACACA